ACAACCGCCTCAGCGATTACCTCATCAAAGAAGGCTACAAAAATGACCCCATCAGTCCATGCATCTTCATCAAGAAGTACTCAAACAAAGGATTTGTAATCATAGCAGTATACGTGGATGATCTAAACATCCTCGGAACATCTGGTGAGATCTCCCAAACAGTCGACTGCTTAAAAGCAGAATTCGAAATGAAAGACCTAGGCAAAACAAAGTACTGTTTGGGATTACAACTTGAGTACATCAAAGGAGGAATCCTTGTGCATCAATCGGCTTATATCGAAAAGGTACTCAAGCGATTTAATATGGACCAAGCTCACCCATTGACCAGCCCAATGGTAGTTAGAAGCTTAAGTGATGACCCTCTTGGTCCCAAAAAGGATGATGAAGAAATCCTTGGTCCTGAAAAGCCATACCTCAGTGCTGTAGGAGCGTTAATGTACCTGGCTAGTCACACTAGACCAGACATATGTTTCGCCGTGAACCTCCTCGCTCGATATAGTTCATCTCCAACTCAGAGGCACTGGAACGGTATAAAACATCTCCTAAGATACCTTCGAAGTACTCAAGACTTAGGACTCTTCTATATTAACCAAAATAAAGATGGGTTAGTCGGCTTCGCCGATGCAGGATATCTATCAGATCCGCACACTGCCAAGTCTCAAACTGGCTACGTTTTTACGCATGGAGGAACAGCCATCTCTTGGAGATCAATGAAGCAGACACTCACTGCCACTTCATCAAACCATGCTGAAATCCTAGCCATTCATGAGGCTAGTAGGGAATGCGTCTGGCTGCGCTCCATAACTCAGCACATCCGCAGAGATTGTGGTATGGACGAAGACACACAGCCCACGGTGATGTATGAAGACAACGCGGCATGCATAGCTCAGCTCAAGGAAGGATATATCAAAGGAGATCGGACGAAGCACATTCTACCGAAGTTCTTCTCAACCTCAGACTGGCAGAAGGACGGCACTCTCAGCGTTCAGCAGGTCCGATCCAGTGAGAATTCAGCTGACCTCTTCACCAAATCATTGCCTACTTCAACACACCGGAAGCTCGTCAAACAGATAGGAATGTATAGACTTAGAGATCTGCAGTGATGCTACAATCAGGGGGAGTAATGCGTGTTGTACTCTTTTTCCTTCACCATGGTTTTGTCCCACTGGGTTTTTCCTGGTAAGGTTTTAATGAGGCAACATTCCCCAGCGCATTATCGAGATCCCGATTGAGTAGCTGACCCGGTTCACTCGTCCAAGGGGGAGTGTTATAACACATATCATATATGGACTCTTATACCGGCCCATTAGGCCCATCAGGGCATTGTACTTAACCTAGATTCCCTATGTACTCTATATATACATTCCAGTGATTAATAAAGTTTCTAAGTTTTCACAACACTTTAATAGTATTTTTATAATTAAGTTTAATAGTATTTTTATAATTAACTTTAATAGTATTTTTTATATGAATGAAATTACACATTTGAATATACTAAATTGGATTAAATACGTTCTCTCTAACCGGTTCAACATAAGACTAAGATATTTTGCAAACCATATACGCTTTTGCAAGTTCTATATGTGAAAAAACCAATTTTAGTCTGCATATGTTGATCTCTGTAAACAAATTGGAAGAATAATGTTAAAAAAAAAAGAAATATTGCACAAATTAAAAAAGAATTTTTAATAAGTAAAATTTTCATTTACCTATATGAGTTGACTTGCTATCATCTCTAACCTCACAAATTTGAACTTACACAAATTTTTTTGGGCAAAGTGAAATAGAAATGTACTATATTTTGTATGAACATAAAAAAAAGGACCAATTTGTGTGTTCTAGACTTTTAGTTAAAGGAAAACTATTATTTATATCAAATAATTGTGACACTAGGTGATTACCCACACCCCTGTGCGGGGTAAATATTAATTCAAAATTTTTTATTGGATACAATATATTTATATATATATAAAACTAAAAATATTAACTAATATTTATAATTATAAATTTATGCGTTGATTATGCAATTACAAATAATGGTTATAATTACATTTATTTTGTAATAAAATCACTAGATGATAATTGGTTCTATAATTAACTTTAATAGTATTTTTATAATTAAGTTTAATAGTATTTTTATAATTAACTTTAATAGTATTTTTTATATGAATGAAATTACACATTTGAATATACTAAATTGGATTAATACGTTCTATCTAACCGGTTCAACATAAGACTAAGATATTTTGCTTTTGATATTAAAAAAATAAATTATAATATGATTAAAATTTTAGATTAAATGGATAATGTGATTATTATTTTTTAACAAAATTAAGATAAAATAAAACTGATATAACAAAATATAATGTTTAGTAATATAAGTAATATTATGTATTAAATAGTTATAAATATGTTATTAAGAAATAGATAGAGAAAGAATATGTTTACAAATTAAATATTGAGTATTAAATATATAATTAATATATACTAATCTCTAACCAAATTAATGCTAATGGTATGTGATATAATTACTCTAGTAAAGCAAGCATTTTTTTATATGTGTTTTGAGAAGCTTTCTTATGATGACACATCAGTATGACACTCTTGTAAATCACACATCAAATGAAGGTTATTTTTATATTGTCCTTCTCAAATAATAATACTTAAGATATGAAGAGTTTCTTGTTTTAATCATAAGTTAGAATAACACTTACTCAGCCTTTAGCTTCTCATTAAATTCTGAGTAAAGACCACATGTTACTTTTTCCTATATTTCGATCAAATAATACAGTATTGAATATGAATAAATGTCTAGTAAATGTACAAATTGAATGTAGTTAAATGAGTTGTCTTTTTGACTAAAAATAAAAAAATATTTTAAAATGATTTTTTTTAATGGTGGTAAGTGGGTAAGATGGATTTCTAACAATTTTTTTTTTTGGAAAGTATTTTTATAGTTGAGTTAGTGGTATTGTGTAATCGCTAAACTTTTTCTATTTTTCTGTTAATTGTGTAATTGAAATTCTTTTTTCAAATAATTTGGAAGTCAATTTTGACATGGTTTTAATATGATCAAGCATTGTGTAGGCGATTTGTTTTTCTTTATTTGACTGTATTTTTTTAGTTTTTAGATGGTGGTTTTTTAGAGAATTTGGGAGTTACATTTGATATATATATATGTGTGAGGTGTAATTAAGTTCTCTAGTTGTGTAATTAAGTTAAATAATATTTCTTTTATAAAATTAAGGAATTGCCAAATGGTCCAATAAAGAGAGAGTAAAACCCTTCTTTTATATATATGATTTTTATTATTTTCTTTAACTTTTCTTCCATTATCCAACAGCATGGCATTTTTTCAACATTTATCACACATTATTTTCAGTTATGATCTTTTTATAACATTAGGTTTTTTCTTATTTGAATTTTGATATTTTAAACACGTTGTTTTCAAAGAATATCTTAAAAAAAATATTTTATTGTATTATTTTCTTAAAGAAATACTTTACAAAAGTAATCAGCTATAGTATTCTACTCTAATTTTCATAAAATTAGTAGTCAGATTAGCTACGGATTTACTAGATTGGCACTCCTACAATTTTTGTTTCATATTTTTTTCTTTTTTTTCGACAACCTTAATACCTAAAACAGTTTGGCTAAGTATCAAGTTTACATATATAGCGTCTTGAGGGTTGACACGAGCACTTCTTGCTAAGTTGTCCACCTTCGAGTTTTTCGCACGTGGAATATATGTTACAGAAAAAAGACTAAATTTATCCTTCATCTTCACAATCTCCTCCAAGTGTAAAGCAAATGCTGGCCATTCTTCGGATGTAAACACCATCTTCACCAACTCTTAACAGTCTCTTGCAAAAGCTACTGCCGTCTTCTGATTCTATATCATGCAATGCATAGCCTACATAAAGGCCTTTAACTCCGCATGCAATGGTGTAAGTCTTACACTTTGCGCTCCCATTATTTTGTCCATAGTACTTTCCTTAAAATAGTACCACCCTAATCCTGTTTTTAAATCCATTTCTTTCCAAGAACCATCAATATAACACCATTAGTCTTCATAACTCTCAGATATTGAATATATCGGGGGATTGCAATTGTTAATGAGAGTTGTGTTTGCTTCGGATATTTGCGCCTCCTTCCATAAGGCCGCTTCGGTTTCTTTGCTTTCCAGATGTACCATGCGATCCACAGAAATTGTGTATTTTGTGTCTCCTTTGGTAATCTCCAAAATAGATGATCAAAATTTGCATAAACTGATGTCATTGGAAAAACAATTGTGGTGTTGAGATTTGGGATAAGATCCATATTTGTAAAGCAGGAAGACACTTAAATAGAGCATGATTTATTGTTTCTTCCTCTGCTCCACACCTTGCACATTATGTGTTACATTGTATTCCACGGGTGCATAGCCTAGATGATACCGAAAGACACCCAGAAATTGCTTGCCATAAAGTGTCTTATCTTTGGGTAGATTTTCAATTTCCAAACATGTGCTTCTAATGACTTTATATTCGGCCCATAATTTTTGTTTCATATATAGATATTATTTTTGTCAACGTAGAAAGTGAAACTTGCTTTTAACAAGTAATTGAAGAAAGACAATGGCTCCTACAAATATGGAACTCTATATTTGACTCATTATTTAGTATTCAGTACCAATCTTAGTCAATTTCTTACCTATCCCCACATGAATTTAAAGTCTCATCCTTTTTTTTTTTTTGAGAAAAAGTCTCATCCTATTTTTCATCTCTTACATCCAATCACAGCTCCATCATTCCAACTCATTAGTAAACTCCAATCCTTCTGTTATTTTTTCAAAACTAGTTTGTTTTTCACATGTATAAAAATTCTTTAATCCCCAATTTCTCTTAACCACAAACTTTCATTGTCCTTTGTCCCCAAATAAAAAAACTCTCAACACCACTTTTTTTTCAAAAGACAAAGATATATTTATTTTTAAATTTATAGGAAAAAAAAGAAAAGAAATGACGTCGCTTGTTGAAGAACTCGAAGAAGAACAAATATCAAGAATTGAGAAAGGCAAAGGCAAAGATTGCCATGGAGGAATTGAGACAGTCATATGTACTTCTCCCAGCATTGTTTGCCTTACACAAAAGGTTAAAAAAAAAATTGGTTTATTGCATATTGATGATGATAATAAATATTTTTGGACGAATTGGTTTATGGATTTTTTTTCCCCATAATTGATTACAGTTGATAGCAGAGATGATTGGGACATATTTCATAATATTCTCCGGATGTGGTGTGGTGGTAGTGAATGTTTTGTACGGTGGAACAATTACATTTCCGGGGATTTGTGTAACTTGGGGTCTCATTGTTATGGTCATGATTTACTCTACCGGTCACATTTCCGGTGCACATTTTAACCCTGCGGTTACCGTCACTTTTGCCATTTTTCGGCGGTTTCCCTGGTATCAGGTATCTACTCTCTATCTCTTCTTTTATATAAGCTTTCTAATGTTTCAAGTACTAACTTTTGTATAATGTTTTGGGCAGGTACCATTGTATATAGGTGCACAACTTACGGGATCACTACTAGCGAGTTTGACACTGAGATTAATGTTCAAAGTGACACCAGAAGCTTTCTTCGGAACAACTCCGGCTGATTCGTCAGCACGAGCGCTCGTAGCAGAGATCATTATTTCATTCCTTCTTATGTTTGTTATCTCCGGCGTTGCCACTGATAATCGTGCGGTTAGTATTTTTCTATATCGCTCTGTCTTTCTTTTCTTGCTATTTCATTATACAAAATTATTTCTAGCAAACAAAAATGGTTAAGCATAATGAAATAGGAATTATCTAAGATTCTAAGGGACATATTTTTAACGCAGTCATTAATCTGGCAGAATTAAAGAATATATGAACATAAAATTGTTGTTTTGTAAAATATTATGATTAGTAAAAAATTTATGGTTGATTTTGTTATTCTGCGAGGTAGTCTTAACCTATTTATAATGGTCAAATCTGTTTCAGTTGAACTTACTAGTGCATATTCTAATATCTATTGCCCTAAAAACCAGGAAAAAACCGGTCATAAGGACAAAATATGCAAAATGGAAGTTCTTATGTTGTTGGATTGTTCTTTATTTCTTTTCTAGTAACAGGTTGGAGAATTAGCTGGAATTGCAGTGGGGATGACTATAATGTTGAATGTCTTCGTGGCTGGGTAAAACACATTTCTTTACTTCAGTTCACATACAACTTATTCATATACTACTACAATTTTGATTTTAACTTTATTTTGATTATTATTAGACCGATTTCGGGAGCATCAATGAATCCAGCAAGAAGTCTAGGACCAGCAATTGTGATGGGAGTATATAAAGGAATATGGATTTACATTGTTGGTCCACTCGTCGGAATTATGGCCGGAGGTTTTGTTTACAACCTTATAAGATTTACAGATAAGCCACTTAGAGAACTCACTAGGAGTGGTTCTTTCCTCCGTTCGGTTTCTCCAAAACACAAAGCTTCTTCTTCTAAGAGTTAATCTTTTTTTTTTCTCTTTTTTTCTTGTTTTGTCTGTTTTCTTGTTGAAGAGTTTGTATACATTTTTTGTTACATTCTTCATTCTTTTACGTATTTAATTTTAGTTGAATCTATTCTAAAGAAGATATCTCCTCCATTTCTTGATTAAATTTAAAAATAAGATATAACAGAATGTTTTCTTGTGGGGAGTATTGGACTAGGGATTTTTAAGAATTTGTGGACTAAAGATAGTCAAATAAACTTACGAGGTTTTGGAATTTTAGAAAAGTATAATATTAGAGAGGAGATGACTTGGTATGATTTTATATTTAAATTTTAGAGGTTTTTGTATGATAACAAAATTGTTGTAAATGCTGTAACAAAAAGAAAACCATTTGACATTCTTATAATGCTATTAAGACTTGGCAACACCAAGCTTCAAAGCACTTTTACTAAACATATATATTAAGTGAACATTGCATTCTCCACAGTCCACACAATCAGAAAGACAAGGCCCTGACACAAATTTTTAGCTCGACAATGTCCTCTTTTTAGTTTCACAAAATAGTTGAAACAAAACGCTGTTCTAACAGCAGACATTTGTTCCATCAAGAAACTCAAATTTAGAAATTATCTGAAAAGGCAATTTTGAGAAAATGGGAGTTGCAAAAACCAACAAAAGCTTTCGTCTAATGCCAGTGTGCCACCTTAAAATAAGATAAGACAGTGTATACTTTTTTGTGGTCCACGGACAAAATAAGACCATTGTGGAGTCATTCGTTATGTCTTGATATATAAGATCATCATTTGTAATAAGTTTATAGGTTAATTCACGTTAAAAACAGATTCTATATGATGTAAAATTGTTTGTTCTGATATCGTTACTTATCACCATCATTCAGCTATCTTTTATTTTGTTCAGAATCATGTAATTATGTTGAACCAATATAAGCATGATCGGATATTCAAATTAGAAAAAAAAAATATTTATCAACTAAAGATGCTTTGTTTCACTTTAAAATATTTAGTGATATCTATTATTACTTGATTTATATTATATTCAGAATAAATATTTTCCCCATAATATCTACTGCCTAAAATTCTAGTTTCCTAAAAAAAATATTTTCTTAAGTTTAGAGTCATTGGACCACTCCTACGATTTATGACCCCTCGTTATATATCCTCTTTTGACAGGTCGACACAGTAACTGAAGGAATACAATCTGGAACTCCATATTTGATTTATCAATTAATCCCAATCTTAAGCGATTTTTATAATAATCTCCACATATTGTCAAAGTCTGATCCTAATTTTCATCTGTTACATCGAATCAAAGCTTGTTACTCCAACTCATTAGATTTAAATTTAATCCAATCCTTTTGTGATTGTTTCAACTAATTTCTGTTTCACATGTATAAAGCCCCTTTAATCTCAAAATTCTCTAACCACACAAATATTCATTTTTCATTTCTTCAATTTATAAACTCTCCATTCTTTTTTTTATTCTGTAAAAAGAAACTATTTTCAAGAAGGTTTGATTTACAAGTTATCAAAACAAAAAATGACTTCCCACGGTGAAGAAATCGAAGAAGAACATATATCAAGAATTGAGGAAGGTAAAGGCAAAAATTGCCATGGAGGAATAGAGACAGTCATATGTACTTCTCCCAGCATTGTTTGCCTTACCCAAAAGGTAACAAATTTATTTATTTTATTGCAGACTTATAATCACAAAAATAACCTATTTTGAAATAATAAGTTTATGTTTTTTTTATTTATAAACTGTTACAGTTGATAGCAGAGATGATTGGGACGTATTTCATAATATTTTCTGGATGTGGAGTGGTGGTAGTGAATGTATTGTACGGTGGAAAAGTGACGTTTCCAGGGATATGTGTGACTTGGGGTCTCATCGTTATGGTCATGATTTACTCTATTGGTCACATCTCTGGTGCACATTTTAACCCTGCGGTTACCATCACTTTCGCCATTTTCCGACGGTTTCCTTGGTATCAGGTCATTATCTACTCTCTTATCTATTCTTTGAATAAGACCTATAGATTGTTTCAAAAACCTAAAAGTAGTGTGTTTACATTTGTGAAGGAAAAAAAACATGTATAACATATCAATGGCTACACTAGACGATAACGATTATAATTTGCATGTATAGTTAACTATATTTTCTTTTGTGTTTGCATTAGCAGAAACAATTAAATGTTATCGCAATTGGATTTGATTATTTGAATAAAGAATATAATTGTATAATGTTTTGGGTAGGTACCATCATATATAGGTGCACAACTTGCAGGATCGTTACTAGCGAGTTTGACACTGAGACTAATGTTCAAAGTGACACCAGAAGCTTTCTTTGGAACAACTCCGGCTGATTCGTCTGCAAGAGCGCTTGTTGCGGAGATCATTATCTCATTCCTCCTCATGTTTGTCATCTCCGGCGTTGCCACCGATAGTCGAGCGGTTAGTGTTTTCTATGGCACCCTTTTGTTTTTCTTATTAATGCATATACTGGTAATTCATTGAATATAAATAGACACAAAATATGTGACATGATTAATTAAAATAAACCATGTGCATATTCTTATCTATTGACACAAAAAACCACTAGTGCATATTCTAATATTTATTGACATTAAAATAAAACCATAGTCATAAGAAGAAAAGTATGCAAATGGAAGTTTTTCATGTTGTTATTCTTTTCAATATTTTTGACAGATTGGAGAATTAGCTGGAATTGCAGTGGGGATGACTATAATGTTAAACGTCTTCGTAGCCGGGTAAAAAATACTAATTTTACTTTTTTTTTCTTTTACAATGCATTAATACGAAAAGCTGTTTAGAAATACTAACCATTGATATTGCGTTTACATACACAATATCATCATGTTTGACAAGAATATTTCATGCTAATTACTTGTCAATCTTTAATAATTTGTTTTATATATTTTAACTACAAACATAATTCACATATATAATGAGAAATATTAATTTTGGTTTTGGTTATTGTTAGACCTATTTCGGGAGCATCAATGAATCCAGCGAGAAGTCTAGGACCAGCGATAGTGATGGGAAAGTATAAAGGAATTTGGGTTTACATTATTGGTCCTGTCATCGGAATAATGGCCGGAGGTTTTGTTTACAACTTTATCAGATTTACAGATAAGCCATTACGAGAACTCACAAAGAGTGCTTCTTTTCTACGTAGTGTTGCTCCTCCAAACAACAATGCTTCTAGTTCTAAGAGCTAATATTTTGTTCTCTTTGTTTGATCATACTGTTTACTTGTTGAATATATGTATGCATTCTTTAATTCTTTACGAACTTAACTGTAGTTGAATCAAATCTGAAAAAACATCTTGTCATCTTGTGTAATCTATGGACCAAAAACACTTTTGCTATTACGATACCTATAAGAATGAGCGCGGGGCTCATATGCCATAATGGAGAAAAAAAAATCTCGCCTGCCATAACATAATCTAATGCCATAAGTCGTTGTGTATTGACGTTTTTAACCTTAATGAACTGATTATAAAAATAATTTATTTTTCTGTCTAAAAATTGAGAAAATTAAATGAAATCGTTTACTTTTAAAAAATAAAAATAAAAGCTGCTTGCAAATTCTTCTTCCCCGAGCTTCTTTCCGTACACATCCGCCGCAGAGAGCTTGATTCGAACCACCGTCGTTTGCTGGCGCCGGCTCATTTTTGGTTGTTTAACTACTCTTTTTTATCCTGCCATTTGTGTGAGAAGACTTCGAAAAGGTATGGTGGTGTGTATTTTGGGGATTTATAAATTAGGGGTTTTCTTTTTTTGTTTGGTGGTTGTTTAACTATGTACATTGCCTAAGTTTGTTGCTTATTAGTTAAGTTCTCTTCGAATCGATGTTAATTTGTCGATTTTTAGTGTTGAATCTGTTTGGTAGATGTGAAACGAGGATGTGAAACCAAAGATTTTAGGCAAGAAAGTTTGGGAATTTAGATAACTGGTACAAAAGGTATAAGTGAAAGATACGTGACAAGTAGTACAAATGGTAGAACTGATAATTATGGGACAACTAATTCAAGTCTTCGACTTATCATATTATGGGACAACTAGTACAAGTCTCTGTTAAAACTGATAATGTGGGACAACTGGTACAAATGTTATAGTGAGAAATTCGGGACAACTAGTATAAAAGGTATAACTGTGAGAAACGTAATTGGTAATATGATTTTTTATTTGCTGCGTATACCAGGATATAATGAGCATTGGCTACACCAACATACACTTTGAGTATGGAGGATATTATTCACGGAACGAGGAGGAGTTTAAATGGATTTCAGTAAATCCTATATATGCAATATCATTTAAAACATTATCTTTGGATGGGATTACTTATTCAGCTCTTGTAGAGAAGATATGCCAGAAGATTGCACTAAGCTCCAATACGACGAATTTGAAATTGAGCTACATTCCTTTGGTAGCTAAGCCTCAAATGGAGTCATGTATTTTCGGTGATGATGATGTTTATGCTTATCTGACGACATTTGATAAAGATGGTCTGAGATCTGTTTTGAATGTGGAGGTTATCGAAGAGGTGGATACAGACAAAAGAGATCAGCTATGTGAGACGGTTGTAATAGGGGATAATGTCGGTAATGAGGATGATGTAGCTAATGGGGATAATGTAGCGAATGGTGGTATTATGGTTCTTTTCAGGGCTGAGGAAGGAGGAAATCAAGAGAACAGGCCTACGAATGAGTGTACTAATGAGCCTGATAGTGAGAAGCAGATGGAGAATGAAGATGGCTTGGAAGCCGGTTTTGATGAGAATGAGCATGTTGAACTTCCACGGGAAGAAGAACAAACTCAATTTGTTCTAGAATGGGATGATGGTGCAAGTTTTGAAAAAGGTCAACAGTTCTGTTCGAAGGAGGCATTGAGAGTAATGGTTGATAAAGCTGCACATAAAGGGTGTTTTGGGGTAAAAACCGAGAAGTCTGACCAGGGTCGAGTGATACTGAAATGCCAACAAGCTGATCGTGGGTGTCCATGGTATTTACATGCTGCCAGAATTAAGGAATCCACATATTTCAGTGTCAAAGTATATAGGAGTGTTCATACCTGCTCCAGGGTTGTCGCGAGTACAAGTCGGAAGAGAAGAAAAGGTACTCCGTCTTGCGCGATGCATATCCAGGTCAGATTGACACCCCTGCGCCCAAAAGTATTATCAATGTTGTTCAGGTAGAAGCTGGAATAAATGTTGTTCAGATTGACACCCCTTACTCTACTACATTGAGAGGCAAAAAGCTAGCTGTTAGTGAAGTGAGAGGGAGTCCTGCAGAAAGTTTTAAGAAATTGCGTTCTTATCTATACGTGTTAGAGAGGGTAAATCCTGGTACGGTTACATGCGTGAAGGTGGATGCTGAAAATAAGTTCAAATATCTATTCATTGCTTTGGGTGCTTGTATAGAAGGTTTTAGAGCAATGAGAAAAGTCATAGTCATGGATGCAACATTTCTGAAAAATATATATGGTGGTATGCTTGTATTTGCTACAGCTCAAGACCCTAATCATCATCATTACCCCATTGCAATGGGTATAATTGATAGGGAGAAAGATGGAAGTTGGAGTTGGTTTTTAGAAACACTGAAAGCTGTTATACCAGATGATCAAGAGCTGGTTTTTATGAGCGATAGGCATAAGAGCATTTTGAAGGCAGTTCATGAGGTGTATCCTAAGTCTCAGCACGGACATTGCGTGTGGCATTTGTCGCAGAACGTGAGAGGTAAAGCTGCTGTTGGTTTTAAAGATATTTGTGCAGCGAGATTCAGAGATTGTGCTCATATGTATACCGAGTATGACTTCATCAGCACATACACCGATTTTGGGAGGAGGTTTCCTAAAGCCGCCGAGTATCTTGCTGCTGTTCCTGTGGAGAAATGGGCTAGGTGTTATTTTAAAGGAGACAAGTACAATTTGGACACCAGTAATGCTTGTGAGTCGATGAATAGTGTATTCAAGAGGGCAAGGAAGTACTCTCTACTGCCTTTGATTGATGCATATGTTGAAAAATTATCTGAGTCGTTCAATAAGCATAGAAAATACACTGTTTGTGCAGCAAGCTTAGGAAAACAGTTGGTGCCGTATGTGGAAAATGAATTACATACACGTTGTGCAGTTGCAACTCACCTACTAGTAACTGAGCTGAACGGCAGTGAACTTGAATACAGTGTCACTGGAGTTGATGGGAAGAGATATCAGGTTGATTTGTTAAGGAGAAATTGTAGTTGCAGATGTTTTGATATTGACAAGATTCCTTGCGTGCATGCTATAGCAGCGACCATGGCTCTAATGCGCCAAGAAGGGAGATCTGTGGATATAAAACTCTCTGATCTGTGCTCGGAATACTACTTGACAAAGTCTTGGTCATTGGCTTATTGCAGAACCATATATCTGGTTCCACACGAGTCTACTTGGGATGTTCTCGAGAACATAAGACAATCAGTTGTTCACCCACAAGACTACATCCAAAAGCGTGGAAGAAAGCAAGACAAGCGATTTCCCTCTACCGGAGAACCTCGCCGGAAACGTGCAAACAACAGGTCTAACCAAGGAATTAACTTGGCAAGGTGGTTATTCCCAGAGTCTAGTCCAGGAACAAACGACCAACAGGTGTAACCCAGGAAGAACTGGACAACTGTGTTTTTTTAATCTAATCATGTTTTGGGACAACTAGACAACTATGTACGTATATTGTCATTTTCATTTGTTTCATATGTTTAGATATTGGGACAACTGGACAACTAGTACAACTATGTTGAATTTGTGATGTACAATTGACGTTTCATATGTATGAAATTGGGACAACTGTACAACTAGTACAACTATATTGGATTTGTGATGTACAATTGACGAATCATTTGTTTGATATTGGGACAACTGAACAACTAGTACAACTATGTTGGATTTATGATGTACAATTGGCGTTTCATATGTATGAAATTGGGACAACTGGACAACTAGTACAACTATATTGGATTTGTGAAATGAGAAAGGGAAACAAAAAGCCTAATGAGTCTTAGATTGTCGAAATTTATGGAGCAATGAGCAACCACTATTCGTTTAAGGAGCTATTATTTTGAAAGATTTACAAAAATCTAAGTCTGGGGGAGTTTGGAGAGAACCTGAGGAAGAAGACCATGAATCTATGTCAAGAAAAAGTGATTGAAAACTGTGGATACCAATAGCTTCACTCTCTCTTGCGATTTTGCATAATGTCCTGCACCCTCCAGATTTTCAGGTAACCCTTAAACACTTTAAGCCATACCCCCAAAATAATCCTTCTTTAAACCTAGCCTAGATTGTCTTGCCTAGATTTTCTATGATGAGAACCACCGAGATTTTTAATGAATGTTAAGAGCTAGTTGACTGGAAGTTAGATCTTAGTGCATAGATTTCTGCATGACGGATTAACGGACTAGTTATGTCTGTATTGCTAGTGAGAATTTTCTAGGCTATTCCCGATTGATGCATACTGATTGATATTGGTCTAGAAGTTTGGTCTCTGAGATTTTGTTTAGTTCATGCGTTTTCAAACCTCTCGCCGAGATTTAGCCTTTGTTTTGTTTGAGGACAAACAAAAGACTAAGTCTGGGGGAGTTGATAACACCGGATTTTGACCATTTTTATGGATCATTTTAATATCTTTTACAGGTGTTTTTACTCTATTTTCAAAGGTTTTCAAAGGATTTCTATGTTTCCGGATTTTAAAAGACTTTTCAGGTAATTTGGGATAAAGAGGCATAAAATGGAACAAAAAGACTCTTTTGGATAAATGCAGACCGTCAGAACTCTCATGGAGAGACGAAGACCTTCTCACCGTCTGATCACCCTCAAAATTGGACAACTTATAGAAGAATCAACCAGCTTTCAAATGCTCTTGGTTTGGAGACATTCCAACGGTTGGATCTCAAGATATTCCATTAGCCCCGAAGCCACGCGGAGTCGGCCAGCAGCTCACGCGACCGCGGCCAACAAGCTATTTTCCGCGGTCAGAAGCTTCCCAACCGCGGGAAACAAGCCAATTGTCGCGGTCACAGCACTCCCGACCGCGGCATTCAAGCTCCGACTTAAAGCCCACTTATCTGAAGCCCAAAGTCATTCCCAGCCTCAATTCCGGAACCCTAGAGACCATGGAGTATTGGAGACTATAAATACATGTCATTTAGGTCGTTTTTAGGAGAGCATTTGATACTTTACAGAAACC